CTCTGGCTGCAAACGGCTGGGCGTGTGAGGGGTTGTGCGGTGTGGGGACCCAGAAGAAGCCTCCCCAGGCTCCGGCCACTCAGCCGCCTGGACGAGCTGACCTTTCCCCCCGCCCAGGTCACCCTCCTGCTAACGCTGCTCCCTTGGCTCATTTGTCTAAAGAGTGTCCCCCTTCCCGCCTGGCCTCGGTTTACTGGCCTGGCCTGGGTTGGGTTGGGGAATGGGGGTGGGGGTAGCGGGGAGGGAAGACCCTCTCGCTGTGCTTCTTATAGAGGCTGACACGTCACGATTCTCATATGTAAATGTCTTTGGAGCGTCTGTGGGCCGTGGGCACCCTTCCAATCCTGCTGTGGGTACATCCCACCTGGTGGTGGAAACTCAGTGTCCCACCTGAGACAGGGACGGCCACCGTGCTCTTTGTCCTCCCCGAGACACCACACGCAGAATCAGAGCCTTGGTTTCAGGTTTGGACTCTGCCACGGATAAGCTGCCTCATTCCTTCATTCACTCTCGTGACAAGTGGCTGTTGAGCGTGGACCATGTCCCCGGGCGGCATCAGGTGCCGAGGAGTCTATAGCCGGTAAACGGGACACCACGCACAGAACACAGCTACGCACTGTGGCACGTGGCACGAGCTCTTTGGGAGCCCTTCCATCTTCTCAGGGGGGCGTGGCTCCTGGAGGGTCCCCGAGGCACACAGAGGCCAGACCCCCAGAGCTAGTGGGGAGAAAGGCCAGAGCGATGGGTGCGGGCTGGCTCCGGAAGGGGCGCTGGGAGAGCCGGTCAGGGCTGGCTTGGGCTGGGCCGTCGACCCTCCTACCCCCTGGCAGGGCGGTCTGCACCCCTTGCCCGTGATAACGGACTTGGCTGCTTTGAAAAATGCAACGACGTGCCAAGTCTGGCCTGATGGTGGCCTCAGGAGAGGAGCTGTGAAGCCCCAGCTGTGTACTGGGTGGTTGGGATTTAAGATGCTGGAAAGAGGCAGCAGGTCCCAGGCCAGGTGAGCGTGACCGGGGAGGGAGCTCGTTCTGAACAGTCTGCAGATGGCGCTCGCAGGCTGCTCCGACCCCAGCCCGTCCGCCATGCCTGTTTGTTTACATATCCCCTGTAAACACTGTTCTTGATGTTCTTCCTTCTTTGTTCGCTCAACATGGCAACAGCGTTGAGTAGTTGCAGCAGGGACCTTACGGCCAGTGGAGCCTAATACATTTGCTACAGAGCCTTTTACAGAAAATGTTTGCGACCCCACCTAGCAGGGCCTGCAAGAGCTGCAGCCTAAGGGTCCTAGACAGGCTGGGGCTAGACGGGGGGGTGGGCGTGGGTAGGGGGCTGGGATTCACTGAGACGTGCCCACAGGGGGCCGCACCCACGGAGGACCCACCCTCCCAGGGTGGGGGAGGGGGCCCACATTCGCGGTCCCCTGAGCATCAGGGTGGCGCTGGGCAGTCTGTGTTTTACAGGGAGGGGGGGCCCTGCCCCTGCTTCCAGAAATGCCAGGGGCCAAGCGCCCTTCACCCCTGCCTGGGCTGTCCCAGCCGCCCACCCTCTCTCTCCCGGGCCTGGCAGGAGGTGGACAGAGGCTGTGCCCAGGAGGGGCCCAGGGGGGTCTTGGCTTGTGGGGCAGGCCTGGGTGTCTCCTCTCTACTCCTGGTCCTCTGCCCAGGCCCTCGGGGGCCATCCTCCTGCTGGGTGGCTTGAGTCACTCCCTCCCCAGGCCTGGGATTACCTGCTGTCTCCACAGAGAAGAACCTGTCCTGCCGGCAGGGCCTGCCTTTGTCCCAGAACTGGTGCTTTGCGCCTTTGCTCCCGCCCTGGCGGCTGTGAGTGGGGTGGGCCCTCGGCTGGGAGAGAGCGAGTGGGGCAGAGAACAACCGGATGAGCTGGGCTGTGCTCCTCTTTCACTCACTCAGCCTCCAACCTCGGGCCCGGTACTCATTTATTGAGCACCTACTGTGTGCCAGCAATGGGCTGGGTGTTGGGGATTCGGCAGTGAGTGAGCTGAGACCCCTTGTCTGAGTGTCTGCGTCACACGTGTCTTCCCGGGCTCTCCACGCCTCAGGACACGGATGTTACTATATTATTATAAATATCATTTGTTTATTATATAACATAACTGTAAATTTTTAACTATGTTATCATAATCATTGCATTGTCATATATCATTATAAAAAGTGGATATTGCCACTTTTCAGATGAGGAAATGGAATAGAATCATTCCTTTAACTTTGCGATTTAGGGAAAAGTGGTCTGTGTTGTACAAAAACCCTTGAAGGCCGACGCTTCCATGTCCTTTGTCACTAGGGCACCGGCTTTGGGAGGGCTGCCGTGGGCCCCGGGTTCCCAGGGGTCTGGAGCAGCGGGGCGCGGCACGGGCACTGGGCTCGGTTCCGGGCAAGACGCCATCCGCCAGAGCTGGAATGCGACAGGCTCCAGCCCCAGGCTGAGAAGTCCGGTGGCTGTCTGGTTGCCACAGGACCAAGCAGGAGCGAGGAGGAGCAGACAGGGATTCCAAGCAGCTGGCGCAGCCTCCAGCTCAGCTCGGCCGGTTACCTCCCGGCTGCCCCCTCCAGGAAGGCCTCCGTGCGCTGCAGGAGAGGACCTGGCCAGGGTCGGGGGGGGGCCCAGAACTGGGGGAGACCACAGGCCGCCCCCTTGAATCCTAACTGGTCACAGCAGGGGAATTCTGGCCTATGTCCCTGGGCTGCAAACACCTTCTCAGTGACATCTTTCGGAAGGATGGTGACACCTAGTGCTTGCACGTGCATTTGCCAATGTTGGGCCGTGTGCAGGAAGGGGAAGGTGACACACCAGTGTCCCCCCGAGCTGTGGGCGGGAAACTCGTCCTAAGCGAAGCCCCTCTTGGCCCCCCGTTTCAGGCGCCTTCTTCACAAAGGTGGTGGAGCTGGGAGCCTCGTCTCTGAAGTTTGAGATCTGGGACACGGCTGGCCAGGAGAAGTACCACAGCGTCTGCCACCTCTACTTCAGGGGCGCCAACGCCGCGCTTTTGGTGTACGACGTCGCCAAGAAGGTGGGGCTCACCGCATGGCGTGTCCTCACCCTGTTTCTCGGGGCGGCTGCCCTGTTTCTCCGGGGCGGGGAAGGCTCCTCTGAGGGAATCATGGCCAGAGCTGGTGCTTTACAGCATAATCACAACAAGGAATAGGGACCACATTAGTGAGGGTTGGCCACCTCCTCCAGGAAGCCCTCCTGCCAACCCCTCCCCCTCCTCCACGGCTGGGTTCTGCTCCTCCATGGTCCTCCCAGAACAGCCTGAACACGCCACTGCCCTCCACCCTCCGTAGTCCCTGAGTGCCGCTGAGCTGGGCTGTGCCTGCCCGTTTCCGTAACGCTCCTCTGCGGTGCATCCCCAGGCAGACACTAAATACCAGCGAGCAGACACGCTAGGCCAGACGAGGGAAGCTGAGATGCGGGAGAGGCGGGGACTGGCCGTGCTGGGGCGGGGCCGGGCGGTGCAGGGGGCAGTGAGCAGGGAGGGAAGAGTGTCCCAGGTGAGGCGTGTGGTGGAGTCTAGGGAGGTCGGGATGACGAGCCGGGCTGCAGGAGCACGGGCTTCCGTGGGGTGGAGACAGGCTGGGCCAGGCCTCGGGCAGGAGCCCCATTACCTGGTCTGCAGGGCTCCCGCAGTCAGGGTCAGATTTGGGGTGGTGGCCACTCCCCAAAACTCTTGTACACCACGACCCTTTGAGGACATCCAGGGTGGTGGCTCAGGAGCTGGGGGCCGTCAGTCTCCCGGGCCAACTGCGGGAAGGAGCTGAGGCGTGTCTCGGCAGTTGGCCGCACAGGTCAGCCAGGGCAGGAGCAGACCTGGCCGCCCTCTCCTCGGGGCAGCGCAGCTCGGCAGGTCCGCCACGGCCAACTGGATCCCGAGACGTTTCACACAACGGGACAGGCATCACCTGCCTCATGCCCCCGAATGGCGGATGAAGAACACCTGAAAGTTTCATCTGACACTAGTTTGTTTCTTTCCTAGGATTCATTCCACAAGGCCCAGCAGTGGCTGAGGGACCTGGAGAAGGAGTTCCGCCCAGGAGAGGTCGTGGTGATGCTGGTTGGCAACAAGACAGACCTCAGCGAGGAGCGGGAGGTCACGTTCGAGGTACTGCTGTGGCGACCCCTGTTAAGTCCCATGGGAAAGAGAGAGGCTGTCCACCTCCGTGTCCAGGCTTTGGGCACTGCACACGCACACCTGCACACTCACACCTGCACACTAACACCTGCACACCTGCATGCTTACACCTGCACACCCACACACTCATACCTGCATACCTGTACGCTTACACCTGCACACCCACACACCCACACATGCACACCTGCACACTCACACCTGCACACTCACACCTGCACACCTGCACACTAACACCTGCACACTCACACCCACACACTCACACATGCACACTCACACCTGCACACCCACACACCCACACATGCACATCTGCACACTAACACCCGCACACCCACACATGGACACCCACACACTCACACCTGCACACCCACACACTTGCACACACACACCTGCATGCTCACACCTGTACACCTGCACACTCACACATGTACACCCGCACACTCACACATGCACACCCACACACCCACACACCCACACACTCACACATGCACACCCACACACACATGCACACCCACACACCCACACAGTCACACATGGACACCTATACACTCACACCTGCACACCCGCATACAGGTAGGCACACTCACAAATGCATATTCATACACATTCACAAACACACGTGCATGCACACACATGTGGGCACCCGCCACATTCTCACACACACACATACAAACACTTCCCAGCTTAGTTTCCCTTTTGGCCAATGACTTCTGGTCTTCCCTCAAAGCTCAGACCTAGGGAGGGTGACGGTTCACATATGGGGAAAGCCGGGAGCCCCACCCCAGCCCTCCTGAGAGCCGGAGGGTCCTGCTGGCGTCCCGCATAGGGGATGGGGCCCTCGCCACCTGCTCCACGCCACGCACGCCAGGCCTGGCCCTCCCAGCTTGCCCTGTGGGAGCGAAGTCCACCGTTCCCTTTCGAGCAGTCCGGCTCTCCCGCAGGTCTCCCTTCCCTACTCAGGGAGCAGCGGGCTCTGAGCCGGGGACACCCTCTGTCATCTGCGTGCTGTCAGCCCCCCCTTCCCGGGTGCAGCAGTCGCCCTGTTGATGCTGTCCGTCTTCCCCCACGGCGCCCCCCTCCCTACTCTCTTTAGGACGAGGACCGTGTAGGAAGCTGCAGACAAGTAGCTGGTGGGGAGACTCCCACACACACCAGAGGCCGCCCAAGGAAGGGCTGATTCGGGGCTCAGCTGGGGGGCACCTCCAAAATAGAGGGGCACCCGGCTTCCTTGAAGGCCATGGAGAGACAGAGAAGTGGCGTGAAGATTGCGGAGAATGGGGGAGGGCAAGGGACAAAGGGAGACAGTGTCAGTCGGGCCCTTGGAGGGGCGCCCGAGTTGGAGCCCCCGTGGCGTGGCGGCGGGGCGGATGGGGCTGGCCTTGGAGCCGCGCCCGCTCACGGCAGCCAGAGGGCTGGTAGAGGCGGCGGGCAGAAGCACAGGTGCGAAAGTTGCTGGCTGAGAAGCTCGGTGGGGACGAAAGCAGGACTGGCCCACAGCTCTGTGGGCCCAGGATGGGGGAGGAGCGGCCCCCGGTGGGGTGGCTGCTGTGGGGACAGGAGCCTGCACTGTGCCCTCCGGGTCCGCCGCGAGCTCCTCCTCCTGGGGGGAGGCCCACACGGGAGGCCGCTGCTTCTCGGCCACCTGCCTCCTGGGCGTGGACATGGCCTTCCCGTGAACGCTCTCCTTCCTGGTCATGCGGTGCAAGCTGCCGCTTCCCGTTTCCCCGCATGGGCCCCACACGCGGGCTCCTGGCGGGAGGGCCCAGGTGGGCTCGGACCAGGCCCCCCGCCCCCGCCTTCGTGTGCTGCCTTGGCTCTCGGGTGGTGTCTTTCCTGGCCTCAGAGCCGCAAGGGCCGGAGCCGTGGGCGGCGGGAGCCACGTGCTGGACACTCACCTTTCCAGGCTCTGCTGGGACAGGGCGGTTCCTCGTGAGTCCTGCCCCAGGGAGAACCTGTTCCGCCTCCCCTCTGCCCGCCGCCTCGGTCCTCGGCTGGCTTCTCCAGGGCGACCAAGAGACAGAGCTTAAACAATGAGTGTGGAGGAACTAGGTCTCCACAGCTGCAGGTGTTTCTTGGGTTTTTAATGTCAGCTGGGTGTTCTTCAGAAACTCTCATCTTACTGAAAAAGTTGGATTTTTGTGGCTTTTTCCCTTAGGAAGGGAAGGAGTTTGCCGAGAGCAAAGGGTTGCTGTTCATGGAAACCTCCGCCAAACTGAACCACCAGGTGACTGAGGTCTTCAGTGCCGTGGGTGAGTGACGGCCCCAGGCTGGGGAAGGGGGCAGGTGCTCTGCACCCCACCTGCTTCCCTGGGTCTCCTTTGCTGGCGCCCAGGACCCAGGAGACCGTGTCCAGGGACTGGAAGACGACCAGGAGGGGCGAGGGGGCCCTGGTTCTATGGCTCTGGGCAAAGGTCAGGAGGGGGTCCCGGGCGGCCCAGGCCTGCAGGGCGACTCCCCTCCCCACCCAGCCCCTCCTTCTGCTTTCACAGCCCGAGAGCTCTTGCAGAGAGACGACAGGGAGGGCCAGGCTCCGAGAAGGGACGCGGCCGTGGTTCTGAACGAGGGGCCCACGAGGCAGGCCAGATGCTGCGCCCACTAGCAGCAGCCACTCCAGGGGGGTCGTGGGGAGGACGCCCCCAGCCCACGCCAAGTCTTCAGGGTGGGCCACTGCCAGCTCCGAGTTGATTCTGATTCACTGTTGACGCTGGGTCGTTCCCGAGCCCTAGAGGGTCCTGCAAGTTGGCATCCTTTACAAGAACCACTTCTCAAAGCCAGTGGGAATTGTCCGGGCAGGATCCGGGGTCAAGTGGCTACCAGAAGAGTGTCAGCCCAGACACCACCTGATTCCGGAAGCCTGTGCCTGCGCCATCTGAATTGTCATACTCTCAGCCGCCTCGCCCTGGGACACAGAGGAATTAAACGGGGTGGAGAGGAAGCAATGATCAGAAAGACATTTTGATCATGGTGATGGTCGACAGACGCCTTGTACGTGGCTTGGGCAGCACGCTGGCCCAGTGGCTGGGCCCACCTGCTTCTGGGAGGTGGGAGAGGCAGCAGCAGGCCAGATGGCAGAGTGGGAGGCCCAAGGCATCTGCATCTTGGGAAGGGCAGCTGGGGTGGGGGACACAGTCCCCTCCCACTCTCTCCTCCTGGCTGCGAATTTGATAGAGCAGTTTCTGTCCGGTGGGCATGAAGATTCTGAGACTTTTAGCCTGAGATGCAAGTTGTACCTCGAATGCATTTTTTTCTCTAAAAATTAAACTGCTTTCGACAATCTAACTTTTGGTGAGTTTTTGAGGACAAGGTAGGGCACAGGGCCTGGTGGGTGGTGTCACCGCAGGTATCTCTGCAGGTGTTCTAGGGCCTGGTGGGTGGTGTCACGGCAGGTGTCTCTGCAGGTGTTCTAGGGCCTGGTGGGTGGTGTCACCGCAGGTATCTCTGCAGGTGTTCTAGGACCTGGTGGGTGGTGTCACCGCAGGTGTCTCTGCAGGTGTTCTAGGGCCTGGTGGGTGGTGTCACCGCAGGTGTCTCTGCAGGTGTTCTAGGGCCTGGTGGGTGGTGTCACCACAGGTGTCTCTGCAGGTGTTCTAGGGCCTGGTGGGTGGTGTCACCACAGGTGTCTCTGCAGGTGTTCTAGGGCCTGGTGGGTGGTGTCACCGCAGGTGTCTCTGCAGGTGTTCTAGGGCCTGGTGGGTGGTGTCACCGCAGGTGTCTCTGCAGGTGTTCTAGGGCCTGGTGGGTGGTGTCACGCGCAGGTGTCTCTGCAGGTGTTCTAGGGCCTGGTGGGTGGTGTCACTGCAGGTATCTGCACGTGTTCTAGGAGGGCTCGTGTTAATAAACAAGGAGGCAGCCCATTTGGCAGGCTGTGGCTAAGGTGAGCACGGCCATCTCTCTGGTTGGGACCTGTCCCAGATGGTGACACATGTTATCCCCATCGTGACTGCCTGCCTTTACAGAGAAACCGAGATCCCTGTGTTGGGGGGTGAGCCCCACATGACATTTTTCTGTCGGGTCTCTCTGGTCACCAGATGTGACAAGGTGAAGGTATTTCAAAGGTGGTTCAAAGGTGGCCATTTCTTGGAAGGTGATGCTGGTTTTCGTCCTTGCCCCCGGGACTGTGATAAGCAGGTTTGAGTTGTACACGGTAAGACGTCGTCACCACCTGAAAAAGTGGCTGCCCCGTGTCGACTGTGAGGGTGAACAGAGAAGAATGAAAAGCGTCCCTCTCACTTGCTGCTCTTCTCATCCCCAAGGGGCCCCGCACAGTCCGCTCCTCCCGGCCCGCCCCCGGCGCTGGCCCTTTGCGTGGAGGCCACCTGCCCAGCCACCAGGCTCGACTTCTGGGGGTTCGGCTAGCTGGGATGCACCTCGGTGAGGCCCTCAGTTGGCCGTGTGCCGGCACAAGGCCACTGCGCCCTCTGGGAGGCCTGTCCCCCTCCACTGGGCCCGGGGAGGGCGCAGCTCCGCCGGGCTGGCCGGGGCTCTCAGCGTCCTGGCCACAGTTGCCACGGTTCCTTTCTAATGAGCCCTCCCGGCGTTGTTGTCCCGACTGGAGGCACTACCTGTGCCTACTGGGCCCCCGGGGACCCAGCTTCTGCCCTGGGGAGGCGGAAACTGCTCAGGTGTCCCTCGGAGTCAGACTTACTGATGCTTGCGTGACCTCACAGAAACTTCTCGAGTGGCGTTAAGTAGATGAGTGCAGACCAGATTTCCACAAGGCTCTTTATTGTCGTGGTCTTTGAGGAAAGCCAAGCGTGAATACAGAAAATAACAGCTTCTGAGAGGGCCTGTTTCCTTGATTTTCACTAACGCCGTTTTCTTCTTAGACAGGCTCGTAGGTGAAAGCTGACGCCTCATGGCCGTGCTTGGCAGTTTCCGGCTGCTGGCGCAGGGGGACCCTTTCTCACGTGGCGATTCCCTCGCAGATGAGGGACATGAGGGTGAGTCCCTGGTGTGCTCGGCTGTGTCCTCTGGCCCCGTGCCCCACAGCGGGACCCCTGCGCCTGGCAGGCCGGTCCCGCCCTGGGGTGGCGGAGGCCGAGGCTGCCCGTGTCCACCAGGTGGCGCTCCAGGACCGGCGAGGCAAAGCCACCGCTGTCCCGGCGGAGCTCGGCACGCAGGGCTGGCAGTGACTGCAGGAAACAGCACGTGTGGGACAGCAGATCTGTGGGACGCTGGTGTGCACGATCACCTGTCTGCCCCCGTCTTTCACGCTCGTGTCACATGCTAGAATTTATTACTAAAATGCATCCTTCAGCTTTTTCCATCAGGAATTCTTTCACAGCCTCCGTGAGATTGGGCGGCTCTGTTGGTCCTGGAGCCCCGGGGCTGCCCGTTGCACGGACTTGTGACTGCCCCTTTCCCTCTCCCCCGCCCCAGGCAGGCGGGGCCCAACCCTGCACTGGAATCCTGCACCCCACACCTGCACCCCGCACCTGCACCCCACACCTGCACCCCGCACCTGCAGCCCACAACTGCACCCCATACCCGCACCCCGCACCTGCGCCCCACACAGAGCTTCTGGCCACATCCATCTGCTCGGGGACTTCTAAAGCCGCCCAGGTGGACCTGCTGTTTGAGCACCGTCGGCGAGAGCCTCTGCGAGGGCAGGTTCCCAGCGCCTCCTACAGTGTCTGGCGCGCGCCAGGCGCTCAACACGTGTGTGTCCAGCAAAGGGACAACGGCCACGTTTCCCCAGAGACCTAAAGAACTGACAGGCTTCCTGGTAACAGCCTCCCCACGACTGACACACGCGTGGGGGCCTGTGCCGGTGCTGCGCCGCCGAAGCCATCCCCCCCGCAGCGGGGTGCGGCGGGCGAAAGGCAGGAGGGCCCCAGCTCTGCAGCACACAGGGATGGAGACCCAGCTGGCAGACACGCCTGTCACTGACACTTCGGGGTAAAGGGCTCCAGCCCTGCTTAGCCTGAGTTCCGACCTGGCTTCTCTGCTGAGCTGCTGTTCTGTGCGTGTGGGGAGTGGAGAGGTTTACAGGTGACCCGTGCGAGCTCCCTGTCATCCCAGCCTGTGACCCGTGACTCTGATCTTTTCCATTTCTTTTCTTGTTCCTCTTGAATATGTTTTTTTTTTTTGAGACAGAGTCTCACTGTGTTGCCCGGGCTAGAGTGAGTGCCGTGGCGTCATCCTAGCTCACAGCAACCTCCAACTCCTGGGTTCAAGCGATCCTCCTGCCTCAGGCTCCCGAGTAGCTGGGACTACAGGCATGCGCCACCACGCCCGGCTAATTTTTTCTATATGTTTTTAGTTGTCCAATTAATTTCTTTCTAATTTTAGTAGAGACGGGGTCTCGCTCTTGCTCAGGCTGGTTTCGAACTCCTGAGCTCAAACAATCCGCCCACCTCGGCCTCCCAGAGAGCTAGGATTATAGGCGTGAGCCACCGCGCTCGGCCTTGAATATGTTTTCATCTAACTCCTCTGGATGGATCCGCTTTTCCCAGAGGGGCTGACTCACAGGCTTATTTTTTTTTTTTTTTTTTGAGCCAGAGTCTTGCTCTGTTGCCTGGGCTGGAGTGCAGTGGCGTCATCATAGCTCACAGCAACCTCCAACTCCTGGTATCCAGTGATCCTCCTGCCTCAGCCTCCTGAGTAGCTGGGACTACAGGCACGTGCCACCACTCCCGGCTAGTTTTTCTATTTTTTGTAGAGATGGGGTCTTGCTCTTGCTCAGGCTGGTCTTGAACTCCTGGCCTCAAACGATCCTCCTGCCTTGGCCTCCCAGAGTGCTAGGATTACAGATGTGAGCCACTGCACTTGGCCAGATCTATTCTTTTTCTTTAAAAATTTATGTCTTTCTTGGGGGTCTCACCAGCCAAATTTAGGACAATTCGAGCATCAAAAATTATTTATAAGGCACTGGGAAAAAAAGGAAAAAAGATACCTTCTTCTTTGGCAGAATCCAGCTGACAAATGTGGGGGAAACTGGAGTCACCATGTGTGACCAGGGTGTCACAGTTGATCCCAGCAAGTGTGGTCAGCGGATGCCAAATCCTGGGGTGTGGGCTGGTTGGGAAACAGGATACGGGGCCCGGGACCGCCACAGGTGCACGTTGATCACACAGGGAACAAAACCCTCACCACCGAGAGATCTGCCTCGACCGCACGGTCAAACTCAGTGTCGGTCAGGGAGGACCCTGGACCCACTGTCGGCTATGACACGGCAGGAGGGATGCAAAGCACTTGTGCCCACAGTGAGCAACCTGGATCCAATCAAGCCCCTCGGCCGGCCTCTCAGATTCGGGAAATGCAGGGGACAGAAGAACAGGCCCAGTGCTGTGGGGGAAAAACTAGCGTCACATGCGCGGGAACCCAGCATGCTGCGTGGCCACTGGCACGGCGTTTTGTGTCTGTGCCCACACTGGGCTGTGAACTCTTTTTTCAAAGCATACAACAGTGGCTTTTAGCACATTCACCATGTTCTTCAGCCTCCACCTTGGTCTGATCCAAGACATTTTCTCCCCCTTCCAAAAGGAAACCCCATCCTATTAGGCAGTCATGCCCCATTCCCCTCCTCCCTAACCCTGGCGGCCACCAACCTACTTTCTGTCTCTAAGAAATCGCATATTCTGGACTTTTCATAGAAAGGGAATCAGACAAAATGTGGACTTTTGTGACTGCCTTCTTTCACTTGGCGTGACGTTTCCAAGGTCACCCTTGTCGTAGCAGGTGCCATTCCTTTTCATGGTTGAATAATATTCCACTGGAGACCGCATTTTGTTTATCCACCCGTCATGGCATGTTTGTGTCCCCCTCAAATTCGCGTGTTGCATTCCTAACTCCTATTGCGATGGCGTTAGGAGGGGGGTCTTCGGGAAGAGATTAGGTCGTGAAGGGTCTGTTCTCCGGCATGTGAAGATACACCAGCGAGACGGGCCCTCACAGGTATTGGGTCTGCCGGCACCTTGATCTTGGACTTCTAGCCTCCAGGTCTGCGAGAAATAAATGTCTATTGCTAAAGCCTCTGCGTCTGTGGTATCTTGTTACAGAAGCCCAAACCGACCGAGGCAGTGGGCGTTTAGGTCACTCCCACCGTTTGGCTACTGTGACTGGTGCTGCCACGACCATCCTGTACAAGCATTTGTCTGAGCACCTGCTTCCAGTTCCCTGGGGGATCTACCTGGGGCGGGATTGTCGGGTCATATGGTGATTCTATTAATATGTTCATCTTTTTGAGGAACTGCCAGACTGCTTTCCTGGGCTGTGACCTCTTGAAGTCCTGAGCCTCCACCTGTCCCCAGGGAGCAGGCCTGGCCACCCGCCCTGTT